ACAAGCTTTCCTGATGCTCATTTTACATTCGCCTGATTCGTAAGTTTGTTCGGTTTAGACTTCCAAGAAGTATCAGTGAAACTAAAATGGTTCAGTTACCGGCAGAAATTACACTACCTTCACTTCCAAATCCTAACCGACGTCGTACCTTCGCACATACAGCAATGTAAACTGCCGGTTCTTCTAAGAGTTATTTAATCTGCCCTAAAAAGTTCAATATTTCTGCCGTCTTTCAGAATGAAATGTTGTTTGTTCAAGGAGAGGTGTGTTGCAGGTTTCGAGATCAAAATAGTGCATTACATTTGCCGGACCTTATAAGTAATGTAAAAGATAGATTCGGAAGGTAATGAGTTATAACCATATACTATTAACATTCGATAATTATTAACTGCTTCCCATGTTGATTATCAAAGTGAAAAAGTAATCGCGCACCAATCACTGTCTAAGTGATCACATACACTGACTGAGCCTTCAGATCGCTGAGTCATTCTTATGTTCACCCGCAAGGCAAAGAGAAAGTTGGAGCATTTTTCGCTACTGATTATGCGTTTCAACCGCCTCTCCAGACAAATCAAAGAGTTTTGATGAGAGCTGACCAAGACAAACTTAAAAGAAAACCGGCAATATCGAAAATTGGTAAGTAAAATTTCTTTGATTTTAAACTTGACTTAAAAATTTTTATTTAGCTGATTTACAGATTACTTCAACGTTTAACAGATGAGGTAGAACAACAAAATACTTCCAGCTTTTTGCTGTCGTTTCTAGATTAACAAATTCTGAAATTCTTCAACAGTAATTCTGAAACGCTGTTTTGGCAATTAGCGACAGTTTGCTTTTGTGAAAAATTCCTAGAAATCTTTTTATTCACTGCAAAATAAAAAATTTTTAGTATTTTTTTGGAGAGGTTAATCGGTACCTGAAATACTAATGCGAAAAAACTGACGAATAATGTTGCGATTTGGCAACTCTACAGTGAGAGCAGACTACAATTGTGAAAATTATGTAGTTGCAGTAACATTTATATAGCACTGTAAACATCTGTAAACATTGTTCATTTGTTCATTGAATAAGAACTGAAAACACTGCAAGTTCAAAATTTTACAGATGAAAACGATGAGTCGGATGCGTCGACAAAAAAGGATTCAGCAGAAAATGCCACCAACTCAACAACAGTTTCAGAAATCAACGAACTGAATGCAGCTTCATTACCGTTGGATGCCAGCGCAGAACAAACTGCAAATCAAATTAAATTTGTTGACGATATTGAACGGAAATTATCATAAAATATCTGTCTGCGAAAAAAAAGAAGTGAATAAATAAAATAACTTAACAACAATAGCCTGAAATAAATAGCAAACTTTTGTTTCTAGAATAAAAATTTGTTTTTCTTGTAAGTTTTTTTGTTTTTGTTTCCTT